AACCTCCAGGCAGCAAATCCACGTTCAAGGCCTAAATTCAACAACCCCCACCCCCTGACCCCAGGGGGGCACTCCAAGAACAAACCAAGGTGTATGATGCTGAGATGGAGGCATTCCACAAATGGACAGCTTGCAGAGAATCTGAAGCCATTCTTTGCGACCACTGGGACCAACAAATAAATGCGTTATTTCATTTAGCCCATATCCCATTCTCTACTGTCTACCACAGTTCCCTTCACATGCACTTTTCTTCCTGTCAATGCGAATTCTATTTCTAATCCAGGCGCTGTTTTACTCCCACCTACATCCCCAAAGTTCTTTGGGAAACACTACCTGTTACCTCCCTTCCTTCTGAACACTAATATCACTTTCTCTAAACAGGAGCATTCAAACTTGTGTTGAATTTCTTTCTTTGTTGGAGGGAAGGGGGGGGGTTAAACTTTTATTACATAATAAGCATTTATTGTTGAAAAATTAGAAAATATAAAGAAGTCACAAGAAAGTCAGCACCCAGAGACATTTATGGACATATCCTTTAGACACAATTGTGTTTGTTTTACAATAGCAGCACTCTGAGTCTTCCACATAATAACGCCATCTTTCCATGTCTGTATGCTCTCTAATGAAACCATTTACAGACTGCTTAGTATTTCACTTTATACATGTGATACGACATACTTAACAAATCCCCTATTCTGATAAACATGGGTAGTTTCCTATTTTAGGCTATTATAAGCAGTCTTGCAATGAAGATACTCCCTTAATATATATGTACATGTATATGTGCCTGATGGGTTCCTTACAATACATGCACTACACCCCTTTTAGGTCTTATTTTCATATTACCAATTTATCCTTCAAAAAGTTATTCCAATTTACTTTCCTTTTTATTATGCATCATTCAAAAAATATTTTGTGCCTACTCTGTGCTAGTCACTATCAGCACAGTCATGATTAATATAACAGACATACTCCTTGCCCTCAAGGAGTTTATAATCTAAAGGAAGAGATGGAAACCCACAGCGTCACAAATCCTTCATTATAAGTGAGGTAAGCTAAGAAGGAAAAGTACAGGGTTTTTCAAAGGTCAGGGGAATTTTAGAAGAGCCTGATACAGCCTGAAGGGTCTGGAAGAGTTTCCATAGGAATAATGCTTCTGAACTGAGGCCAAGGATTCCTGATGAAAATCAGGTGAAACCAGATTGTAGAGAATCCTGGATAAAATATTCTAAGCAAAGGAAGCAGTGTGGACAAAGCCCCCAAAAAAGGAAGCAACATGACCCATTTGAAAAAATGTAAGCGGCTCCCTGCAGCTGGGACAGAGGTAAGTGGAAAGATTAAGGCAGCGGCCAGGCCACACAAGCCCCCCAGCAGCAGCAGCTGTCACCTTCCTGCACTCTCCCCACCCGGTGAGGTCAACATTCAGTAACATGGGCTAGAACAGTCACACAGCAATCAAAGCCTAAGAAACAAACAACTGAATGATGACACAACAAACTGTAAATCAGAAAAACGTATGTAAATAAATTTATCCTGAGTAAGAAATGCACTTTCAATCTGTCCCAGAACTTTTAAGTGTACGTTATGTCATGTACTTTAAACAATATAATCAACTAAATTCTTCAGTTTAATAGTTGTTGTCTAAAATATCTGCGTGCCTATATAGAGCAAAACACATGAAAAATTCCTGGACTTGAATATGCTAAGATTGAGTCAATTAAAAAGTGTTTAAGTCTACTGGAGAAATCACATATCCATTATTTTATTTAAAGTAAAATACATAAATGTTTCTTTAAGGACCTACTCTGGAGAACAAGCTAATCCTACAATCTTTCAATGACTCTAATTAGGCAAATTTTCTTTTTTCCAACACTGATTTTCTTATAAACTTCCACATAAATAAGAGTTAAAAATTAGTGTTTTAAGACATTTTAAAAATCAAAAGTTCAAAGACATCAAGTATTCCTTTTAGAGTGTTTTTATTTATCCAGGTAAATATGCAATTATCATAATTTAAAGGACATTTTTTAGTAATTAACTATAAAAAAATCTGTACAGAAAATTTGTACCACAAAATTATGTCCCTAAGTGGTTAAGGTGCTTAGTAATGGGGAGATACAAAGAAGTGCAAAAGGGTCCCTGCTCAGCAACCTCCCATAACTGAAGAGAGCGGCACACAAGGTGCTACTTGCGAAAATGAAGGGACTTCATAAAAAGATCTTTCAGATAGTCCCTATTACAAAAGGGAATGCCTATTAAAGTGCCAGTTTATTCTGTATTAAACATCCCTTCTATCCCCTTCAAGAGCTTTATTTTCTTTGCTGTAAGGTAAAGAAAAGGCCATATCCCTAAGACACACTTTGTGAAAACGATCTCAATACAAGAGCCAATGATTCCCATTGTTTCCTGTCCTTACTGAAGTTCACCTGCACATTCCAGAACAATGTGCTGAACTTCACTGTTGGTTAGCCTATTCCAAAGTAGGCTTCTTCAGGAACACACAAAAGATAGGATGCAACAGTCCGCATAAATATGCTCTGAATAGGTGTATTTGAAATATAAATATAATAACCTTTCAGACCATTTTTCCTAAACTCTAAATTAAAAACAAAAAATCAAAAAATGGAAGTTTTCAAACAATGATGTGTGCAGCCCATTCTCATGACACAGTCATTTAAACTTCTCATCTGGAAAACATAATGCAATAAATTATCAAAAAGTGAAGGAAAAACCACAAAGTTCCATCTGATTTACAACATGAAAACCGAAAGCATTACAAAACTCACAGTGTCAAATACTAAAAGTTACACATTTTGCTGGATAATCTTTTTACTCCTCTTGATTGGAAAAGTCACAGGATCAATATAGAAAGCTTGGAAAATATAGAAAAGCAAAGAAAAAAATAAACTCTTGTAACCCTACCATTCAACTGGAGTTGTTAATATTGGGGGTTTTCTTTCAGTATTTTTTCTATTATATACAAGTAATTAGTTTAAGAAATACAAATGCCTGCACACTTTATAAAATTAGGATATTGTAGTTGCATTTTTATCATTTGCTCACTTAACATATAGCATGTTATATATCTCTGACTTTAAAAATCCTTCTAAAAATCCTTTTAAACATATATGGATGTATTGTAACATTCATTTTGGGACATTTATGTTGTTTCCAATTTTTTAACATAATAAACAAGACTGTCATAAAAATATTTAAAACTCGTAACACTTCGGATTATTTTCTTAAAACATTATTTCTAAAAGTAGAATTACTGTTAAAGGGGAATTTTAGATGGCCAAGAATCACCCTGATTCTTGGCCATCTAAAATTCCCCTTTAACAGTAATTCTACAGCCTTGTTCTACCAGATTTTAACCTATTCAAAATTCACAAAACTTACAGTTACATGGTATATATTTTTAAAAATAAACTTTTTAAATAAAAAAAGTTCATTGACTAAAAATATTAGAAATAACAGGAAATAGAATCACTATTATGTTTTAGCATATGACATGGAAAAAAATTAATTTAACTTAAACCCCACACTATGTACTTTAATTGGTTCCAAATGAGTCAAGAAAATACAGAATAGCCATGTTAGTCCTAGGAGAAGAAGAAAAATCATCTCAACTAGTTAAGAAAAATAAAATATCAGAGAGAATGGAAGGGTGAGTCCAGGACAGGAATTTAAGACAAAGACCTTTCCTCCAATAAATTACAAATATTACAGATCTCTTTCTCTCAGAAGGCAATTTTACAGCCCAATTCTCCCCCACCCTCTTCATTTTAACCCTTGATATCTACCTTTTTAAATTTTCCGACACAAACACAAATTTTGTTATAGTAGTTCTAGAGATAATAGTCAGCTCTCCAAACACAACAAAAAGACTAATTTCTTAAAAGTCCAATCCCAATACCTTGAAACAAAATGCTAATGTTTAATAAGATTTTCAAAATAAAGACCACTTTTCTCTTTTTCAATACTTACTCTGAGTGGGAAACTTTCATTTCTTCCCTTTGTCTTGCAGAATAATTTAGATTCCCACCTAAAACACAAATAAGCACAGAATCTTTTCAATATAACTATCAAATGTAAAATTCACACATGCATGTGCGCACACACACACACACACTTGCACTGATATATAGTAAGTCCCAGTCTTACGAACATTCGAGTTGCAAACTTTCACAGATGCAGCCAATCATGCACCCAGGTTAGACTTATGTCCGACTTATGAACGTTCTCCCTGAACGGAACTCGTTCTTAGGTCGAGGACTTACTGTACCATAAAGTAACAGAAAAGACTATGGAAGATAAGAAAGAAATGGGAAAAAAAAGAAATACAATTTTCTTTGTCTCAAAATAAAGCAATCTTTGTGTTTTTGTTAAAAAAGAAAGAAATGGTTTCCCTCCTGAAGCCTTCTTAAGGGAAAAAAATGTTTTTAAAAAAATCCTTATATGATACAAATAATTATTGCTTAATTTTAGCATTTTTTTAAGTTTGGATTTATGTATTACTTCAGGTTTTGTTAACTGGGACACTGTATTAATATTCAGTAATAGTGAGAATTAAGAGAAATGAAAGGAAATGACTTAAGTTATTTAAACAGCATGTGTATATATTCTTCTAAATACATAATAACCTTTAAGAGCAAGCCAGTTAGAAAAATTAATAATGGTAACATCAATATCTTACAAAGGAATAAAGAACAAATGTATGTAGTATATATTAGCAAAAGAAAAAAATTTGCAATTTCTCATTCTATATTGAATGCTTTCAACTTTAAAATGTGAAATTTCGGCTGTAAATTTGTCTACTTATTTTTTTTAAATATAAGACAATAACATAGGAAAGGCTTTAGGTCATTTTAAAAAATGCTTCTTTATACTAATATAAAGAGAACAGCTACGATTTTATATTACAAAACTTATATTGAACTGGCCAGAATTTTAATAACTGTGAAGGCCCAGAATACATAACTACATGTTATATCATGAAATTTTCCATCACTATGAACAGAAGGTCATTATTACATGAACTGAAGCACTGGCCTCTAAAGAGGCAGGCAGACAATCCAGTGACCCCCCCTCCCCCACCAGACGATCCATCACAGTTTAAGAAATACCTGAACTTCTACTTACCTTGGGCACGATTCACCAAATAGAGGAAGACCACAGCTAAAAGTGACACTGGAAGTGAAAAACGTAGGACTCTTAAAAAAAACACATACTCCTCCCCAATGATTCTTATGTAATCATAATTAGTACTCAAAATAAGGCATGCATCATTTTCTCCATAGGCTACCTGAGCCCAGGGATGCCAAGTCCAGAAATGGAGAGGCTGAGATACCCACAGGAGAAGGGGCCGACCCCCCATGGGTCATTCCTGTTACTCTTTCCTGTCTCTTTGTAAGTGCTCGTCCTTCCCAGCATTTCCCCAAAATGCCTGCCAACCCCTAGACTATTTATCTTTTTACAGAGGGCCAAACAGAATTAATCCTTTCGAGGTCTTAGGTCTAAAAACACCATGTCCCGTAGCTGGCCGGTTAGCTCAGTTGGTTAGAGCATGGTGCTGATAAAAACACCATGTCCCTTTAACAAACATCTGAACATGGTCACTAGACTCCCAGAGCCCAGAGCCAATAAAGAGCTCAGAAAGTCAGGTGCTGGCTGTTTACCTTGATAAGTGAGGCACACTTACTTTACTTTAAATTAATATGGCAACACAAACATGTTTAAATGGCATGGTGTTTGGTTTGGGAACCAAATACATATGGAAATGTGGCTTGACGTTAAACCACATGTTGCAGCATCAAAAATAGACAAAAACATTTTCGTGACCCAGTATTTTAAATTCTTATACGACCCACTTTTTGAAAACGAATGTTTTTTTTATTTAAATTTGATGTGCTAGGGCCGGCCGAGTGGAGTGGTGTGTTGGTTAAGAGCTGGCTTGGGATGCCAGAGGGCCCCGGTTCGGATCCCACATATGAGGGCCAGTGACACTGCCCTCTACAGCTAAGATGCTGAACAACAGCTCAACCTGGAGCTGGGCTGCCGTGCATCGCCAGCGATGGCGTAGGCTGCAGCCCCTGCTGCAGTGGGTTGCCATGGGCTACCGTATGTAGCCAGCAGCCGCCGGTGAGCAGCCGTCCAGAAGCTGGCGACTGATCTGCCTCGCCCGGGAAGAGCGCAATGATGGTGCCAACTTGGGCCAGTGAAGCAATGTCCTCCACAACTAGACTGAAGAACAAAAGGACAGCAACTTGTCTGTTCCCCTTCCTCCAATTCCCCAGCGCTGTTCCCATCACCCAATTCCCCAATAAAAATCTTAAAAAACAAAAAAACAAAAAACTAGTTCAAGAGTGAGAGCTCTGAGCAACACGGTTGCCAATTCAATTCCCAGCCTAAGCTGAGCTGCTGCTGAGCTGCCAATAGGTGGCAGGATGGCTCAGCCAAAAAAAAAAAAATTAATAATAATAATAATAATTTAAAATTTTAAAAATAAATAAATAAAATAAAATTGTATGTGCTTATTTCTAAAATTATGAGACAATAAAATGTATTCAGGCTATTCATAAGCAATTATCTACAAGTACAATTATACTTCAAGTATAGACAGTCACTACGAAATAAAATGAAAATGAAGTCTGATAGTATCACTGGGGTTTGCCATTTTAGATACATATTATGAATGTATAAAAGGCATCTTAATATGTTATATGAGAATTTTTTCCAGATGAACACAATTTATGTGTATGGTGAAGACTATCAATGGGAAATCCTGATTCTTATAGTTTTTGACAGTTTCCTAATGCTTCCTATTTTTATTCAACAAATTATTGCAGGTAAAAATTAAGTAACAGAACTAATAAAAGCAATTTCAAACTTCCTAATGAATAAGCCATGAGCACTCACACCTACGTCACACCAGTAGTGTCCACACATTCATACCATGGACACACTCAGGACCTTTCAAATGCTTCCACTTTAAAGGGGCAAAAGTTTTCTAAAAAAACAAATGTTTAAAACAGAATATGAAGCAGATTCCACTACTGCCTTTAAGGAAAGGAATCTCCTGAAAAATGCGTGTGAATCTTCACAGAACTAGAAAGTCACAAGCTGGGAAACTGACAGACACACAGGCTAAGAATTAGGCAAATCTGAGAGATACTCCTTACAGATTTGGCTTAAAAAGGGGGGAAACAAGGGCCGGCCGAGTGGTTCATTGGTTAGGAGTTGGCTTGGGATGCCAGCTCTGAGCAGCAGGGCCCCGGTTTGAGTCTCACATGAGGGCTAGTGACGCTGCACCCTCTATAGCTAAGATGGTGAACAACAGCTCAACCTAGAGTTTGGCTGCCATGAGTCGCCGGCGACGGCGTAGGCTGCAGTGGCCGGCAGTAGGCATGAGCTTTTGTGAGTTGCTGTGAGCGGCCGTCCAATGGCCNAGATGACCTGTCTCCAGGCCCACCTCTTCACCACCTCACGTCCCAGCCCAGGCTTCCTTTTGCTAATACAAGGCCCTGTTCTTCCAGCCGTTTCTCATCCCAGCTCTCCCAGGTCTGTTGCTGCCAGCTCAAACCCAGCCTTCCCCCATCCTTCTCCCTTCTCCCTTGTTTTCCCATCCCCTGTCCACTGTACCCTCTGAAATCAGGGCTCTGTGGGGGTTGGGTCGGGGGAGAGGGATTCACCTTTTGTCCTGACACTTTTATTTACCTCTTCCCCAGGGCAAACAGGGTCTGCTTTGAAAGGTTAAAAACTACCTGAATGTGGTAAGACACAGGACCCCCAAATAATCAGATTTTCCTGGGAAAACTGAATAAGCCTCAATATTTGCGGGAGTGGGGGCAGTGGGATAAGTCTTGCAAGATTAAGTGTCACCAGCCCACACTTTCAGTTGTTTGTGAACCTACTGTCATCCTAGAAATTTCTGAGCATGCTTCATTTACTTGCCAGAGCACCCAGAGGGATCTGAACAGAATCCCAGGAAGGCCCATACTGTCCAACCCATCAACTAACGCACTAACTGCAGGGAACGCATAGGTGTTTCTCTAGACAATGCTTTAGGTCATCCATCAATGAATACACATGTAACACATGGTAATTAACCATATCTGTATGTTTCGTAAACGATGAACCCGAGTGCTAAAAGGAACTTTAGTGATATTCCACTTTGCAATCAGGAAATGGAAGTGCAGAAAGCTACTACCTAGTAAAACTTAGTAGATAAGCACGGGAGGTGATTCTCTTCAAAAAGACAAACTCCTCCAAAGCGAGTGCTAATCCCAAATGGAATGGCTCATAGGCCCACTGATTTTCATTATGCAATTGACTCGCAGTCAAACCTATGGGGAAAAGTCAGTTTAGGGAATAGAATAAGTTAGGCAGGACAGCTGCCATGATGTGGGGCTGATAAAGAGCCACCAAGAAGACACGTCACTTGAGTACATGACCATATACACGATACCTGGGGGGGAATAAGTGGTAATAAGTGTGGCTGTCTGGCCTGCCTGCATGATGTCAAGGACTTTTCAGTATTTCTTATAAAACATCAAAGTTTTCCCCCAACCTCCAGGCAGCAAATCCACGTTCAAGGCCTAAATTCAACAACCCCCACCCCCTGACCCCAGGGGGGCACTCCAAGAACAAACCAAGGTGTATGATGCTGAGATGGAGGCATTCCACAAATGGACAGCTTGCAGAGAATCTGAAGCCATTCTTTGCGACCACTGGGACCAACAAATAAATGAGTTATTTCATTTAGCCCATATCCCATTCTCTACTGTCTACCACAGTTCCCTTCACATGCACTTTTCTTCCTGTCAATGCGAATTCTATTTCTAATCCAGGCGCTGTTTTACTCCCACCTACATCCCCAAAGTTCTTTGGGAAACACTACCTGTTACCTCCCTTCCTTCTGAACACTAATATCACTTTCTCTAAACAGGAGCATTCAAACTTGTGTTGAATTTCTTTCTTTGTTGGAGGGAAGGGGGGGGGTTAAACTTTTATTACATAATAAGCATTTATTGTTGAAAAATTAGAAAATATAAAGAAGTCACAAGAAAGTCAGCACCCAGAGACATTTATGGACATATCCTTTAGACACAATTGTGTTTGTTTTACAATAGCAGCACTCTGAGTCTTCCACATAATAACGCCATCTTTCCATGTCTGTATGCTCTCTAATGAAACCATTTACAGACTGCTTAGTATTTCACTTTATACATGTGATACGACATACTTAACAAATCCCCTATTCTGATAAACATGGGTTGTTTCCTATTTTAGGCTATTATAAGCAGTCTTGCAATGAAGATACTCCCTTAATATATATGTACATGTATATGTGCCTGATGGGTTCCTTACAATACATGCACTACACCCCTTTTAGGTCTTATTTTCATATTACCAATTTATCCTTCAAAAAGTTATTCCAATTTACTTTCCTTTTTATTATGCATCATTCAAAAAATATTTTGTGCCTACTCTGTGCTAGTCACTATCAGCACAGTCATGATTAATATAACAGACATACTCCTTGCCCTCAAGGAGTTTATAATCTAAAGGAAGAGATGGAAACCCACAGCGTCACAAATCCTTCATTATAAGTGAGGTAAGCTAAG